TAATGTTACCAGTGGTTTGCACCTTGTTGTAAACCCTCTGTATTTACATTCATGAAGGCGTCTCTTGATTGTAGACTTTGACAATGATACGCCTACCTTCTCCAGAGTATTCTTGACTTCTGTTGATGTTGTCACCAAGGAAAGGATTCTGCGATCATCCACTTTAGTTGTCTTCCGTGGTCTTCCAGGCCTTTCGATGTTGTTGAGCTCACCAGTGCTTTCTTTCGTGTTAAGAATGTACCCAACTGTTGATTTGGCCACACCTAAGGATTTTACTCTCTTATAGATTTATGTTGTTTTTTCAGCCTAATGATGGCCTCCTTCACTTGCATTGAGATCTCCTTGGACTTCATATTGGTAGCTCCAGTCGAAAAGCTGCCAACTCAATACCTGATACCTGAACTCCAGACCTTTTATCTGCTTCATTTGTCTTGAAGTAACGAGGGAATGGACCGCACCTGGTCAAATAACTTCTTGTCAGTCAAATAATAAAAATACCTTTGAGCCCCTAAAAAAAAGTACTTTGCTTAAAATGGCTGTAATTCCTAAATGGTAAATACCATGTTTCTCTGGAGCCTCTTAAAATAAAGCTGAAAGTCTACAATTCGATCACATCTCGATTGTTTTATTTCAAATCCATTGTGGTGGAGTATAAAGGCAAAATCACAAAAACTCTGTCATTGTCCAAATACTTCCAGACCATGGTGTGTGTGTGTGTGTGTGTGTGTGTGTGTGTATGTGTATGTATGCAAGCCTGTATAAAATGTAAAGGCTTTCTACTGACTGTAGTTAATTACAGTGGCCAGCTCCAGCTCGGCCACTTTACTTTCTCTTCCTCCTAACAGACTCCCAGTAAAGACACAGTGAAGATGATGTAAACCACAGCAATGCAATACTAAAGCATCTATCACTCTGTGATTGGTGTAATTTTGGGTTTAAACACTACTTAAATGAACATGCTTCAGTCATCTGAATACAGATGCGTTATGAAATGTTTTCGTTGATAATAGACTTTGGTTATATTGATCACGCATGGTTTATTTACCCCAGCACTCTTCACAGCAAAATTTGTTTTTCCTACAGTGAAACATGGAACTCAGTGTGTAACCCCCTCACGCTATGTATGAAAACTTCACCCTGCGCGAGTGTCCGTGCACAACATCATGACCCAAAACAGTCATAACAAGCAGTGCTGTAATAGGGGAAATTATCAATGGTAGAGTGATGTGATGACTCACAAAAAAAAAACGTCATGTTACTGAGAAATTGCAGAGAACAATATTTTGTGTCCTGAACGTTTCCGTGTCCTGGAAAACCTAAAATAAACAGCTTTACGCTAGACCATTACTAAGCACTCATTTAGAGTCTCCTAACACAAGCAGTATCACTTGAGCAAGATGGCTGTTGTACTGAAAATCAGCACAGCTGTGAGCATAGGTAAACCATAGGTATTGTACACTATATGGCCAAATGTATGTGGACACCTGTGGTAACGGGCATTAATATGGAGTTGGCCACCTTTTTGCTATTATAACCCAACTCTTCTGGGAAGGCTTTTTGCCCATTTAGCCACAAGAGCTTTGCAGCTTCCAACTATTCTTCATTTAGCTACATAATATCTTATGCAGATAATTGCTTCTATATCAAGAACCAAATTCAGAGAATTCATCACTAGGTAATGATCACATTACATCACACATCACATTAGTTGCAAAAATATATGTATATTTTATTTATATTTAGAGTCATTTAAATTACATTGTGTATGCCTGCATACACATTTACAGCATATTGGAAATCAGCTTAATGAGCTTAAGTGCTATTAATCATGGATTTTAATCAAAATTAATTAAAAATTAATAAAATAAATTGTGGATTTTGTTTCTACTAATAGAAATAAAACAAATCACATTCATTTCAAAAGGTTGATATATGTCACAGTATTAAAGGTGACTTTCCTTGTCTACAGTAGAAAGCTTTTACTGTATGCTATTCAATGCATTTTCTTGCCTTATTAGTTTGATCAGAACCTTGTGTTAAAGTCTCTTACACATGTTGATTTCATAAATAGACATTTCTGTGCAGTGTGATGATCCACTGACTCTAAAAAAAAAAAAATCTAATAATATGATTCCTTCTGCATGGTCTCCACACCTGATGATGAAAGGGGGAAAAACTTTAATTTTCTATTCATTTAATTCATTAATTCATTTTCTAACTCATTAATCAGGATACTACTAGTTACTAATCTAACTGCTAATCACTGATAGATGTATATATTACATTAACTGCATATATAAAACTAGCGGAATATATTTGATGGAAATTGAGCTCAACTGATTTGAAGATAAACTTTAGAAAATGTTTGACTCACCACTCATCAACTCTCCTTTAATGTCGTCTGTTTCTCTGTGGTCATATCCCTGATGTGAGGGTTACTCTCACACATGTAAGTAAAACGTTCCTTGAGGTACTGGTTCCCAAAGCCGAGGATATGTCCAGGAGCATGGCGAGAGAGAGAAGCCACTCTTGCTGTGAAGTCAAGTGTGAAGGCAAACTTCACCAGCTCTGGAGCTACCACGGATGGCTGTGTTTTCTGTTGTGGGACTTCAGAATTTACATACTGGTCTGCTAATTGCTGGAAGGAGCCATAGGTGATAGTGTTGAAGTAGGAAATAATAGTAGTATTTTCCTTTAGCTGTAGGGAACAGAGTGAAGACGTTACAAGTTGCTTCCATGCTTTGCTTTTTTTTTTTTTTTTAAATTTTCACTCATGTAATTCTTTAATTCTTTGCATAAGACTGTTAAAGGTTCACTGGAGACCCCTCACCTTATCATTTATAACATCACCTTCCTGTTTTATCAATTCGATGATCCTTTTAGTAATTTCCTCTTGAGACACTGCATGGATAATGGCAGGAATAATAAGATTTACAGGTCAGACCATTTAATATGTTCTCTAATATTTCACATTAAGAGCTTACTCAGGCAATAATACGCCTGATTGTTCTAAAATATTTATTTTATACACAGCATAACTGTGAACTATGCAGTACTCACTGTATAAGGCATCTGTGTCTGTAGGCTGAACTGAATCAGAGAAAGTTTTGTTTTCTTCTGTGGGACTGTTTTTCACCTCATTCACAATCTTCTCCAGCTCTTCCGACATTTTTTCATAATAGAAACTAGTGGCCTCTACCTCCTCAATTGCTGCAAAAATGAATACAAGGGAAATTTCCAAATATGTCATTGGGCATTTGAAACAGGAACTTTGCACAATAGATAAATACTATTATGATGGACAACATATATTATGAAGCACTTCCTTAAAAAAAAAAACTACAGGTTGATAATATTTGGTGTTAGTGATGGAGAGACTACTCATGCATATTTGTAGAGATATTTTTAAAAGTTCGATATGTAATATTAATTGTATGTTTGCCTGTGTCCGCCATTGTTGTTTGTACTGCAAGTATGTATGTAAATGTTTGAACTGGTGAGGATTTAGGTTGAGTTGGAAATGTGGCAAAAATAATGCAAGTATCTAAATTTATAGTAAGGGTTTAGATGTTTCTTTTATTTTGATATAACTGATGTAATTGTTACAACTGCTATCGATATATTCAATACAAAGGTCTTCCCTGTTAGGCTATTCTGAAATAAGCTTTGAATTTGCCTAATTGTATAACCTGAAATGTATGTAATATACGTACATTGGACCTGGGAGTTGTGGGCTTCAGTAGATAGGTCTAAAGTATGTGGCCGCACTTTTGTTGTCTTATCTAAGCCCATGTCCCCGCTGTGTCTCTTTAATGAGACCCTCCTTTGAGATCGCCTTCTCCTAGAGGCCCTAGTGTGGCGCAGGATGATGCCATCACCAGCAGAGATGGGCAGGCAGGAGAGTGGAGGTGTTGCAGGTTCTGGATTAGGAAGTGCTTCTTCAGTTCTCCCATCATCATCTTGTTCATCCTGTTTGTTCCCTCTGGAGAACCACCCCAGAACACTCTTCCATACTGAAGACTTCTTAATCTTCTTGCCCTCTTTGATCTTCTTTAGCTCTGTCGAACTCTCTAGCTTAGGTTGAGCAGGCAGTGGAGAGTCTTCAATATTGAGGTCTTCTAACTCCAGTTTACAGGCTTCACGAGATAGTCTATTATCCCGCTTGTCTTTATCAAAAGGAGAAAACCACTTCCGGGGTTTTCCATCAGAACTCTGAGATGCAGAGGAGCCATCCTTTCTGTTAAGAGACCTTTTCTGCCATCGTTTACATTTATCAGTTTCACTTTCTTTTACTGGTTCTGAAATTGCTTTATCTTTACTAAGATCCTCCTCTGAGGCTGAAGGTTTAGGGTGACGTGAGGGTGTATTTGGTCGTCTATCATCATGCTTATCTTTATCAAAATTTACAAACCATTTCTGGGGCTTCCCATCAGAAGTACAAGATGCAGAGGATCCATCGTTTCTGTTGAGAGTGCTTTTCTTTTTCTGTCGTTTTGATCTGATGTCTGTAGTTTCAGTTTCTACCTGAGAGTTTCCGTCTGTTTCTGGTTCTGAGAATGCCTTATCTTCACCAAGGTCCTCCTCTGAGTCTAAGGGTTTAAGATGAAGCGAGATATCGCTGGAATGTTTACGCGCTCTCTGATCTCGCTCCGCAACAGTGACCCATTTGTCTGGTCTCCGTTCTCTTCGAGGTGGACATTGTGACCCATCATTAAGGCTCAGGCTTCTCTTTACATAAACTTCCAGGAGCCGTTTGCTGTCCTTGGCTCCCACAAACAGCACCTGGGGCCTGGGCTGTGCATTCGGCTCCACTTGAGATACCATGGATACCATATGTGCTCTTAAGCTGGAAAGAAAAAAAGAGTAATGGGCATGACAGTTTTCAACATTTCAGTAAACTTTTTCTCTTTGTCACATTTCACGGATTTGGTCTTATTTTCAGGTTACCTACACCGTCAACGTCCACCTGTCTCTCTTGTATTTACTGAAACTAGCCCAGCGGCAGCTCAGTGGTTAAGACGTTGGACTACTACGCGGGAGGTCGTGAGTTCAAATCCCACCACTACCAAGCCTCCACCACAGGGTCACCGACTCTCAACTGTACAGCTGCGTATATATGCGGAAAATAAATAAGGGCGTCTGCTAAACGCCGTAAACGAAAGCTCACAAGTCGTTCGCATGCGATTTTGCAAGTTTCGTATAGGCGAATAATTCAATTATAGACAGAGTCGACGTCGATGTTGTCCTTACCTTTTCACGAAAGTCTGTCTTCACCAGCAGTTCATACAGCAATGTTTATAACATTAACTCTGTCAGCGATGGAAAGGTTGTTGTAGTGACAGCTCCCTCGCCAAGTAAGGACATATTTCCTGTTATTCCAGCCCCTTGGTGCTAAGCAGCCAATCCCATGGCGAGACTGTCCAAGCAAACACAAGCTCTCAGGTAGGCAGCAACCTGTAAACAGCAAGCAAGTCAGGTGATACAAGGGACTTTTTACTGCTATTGTTTACGGTACACTGCTGCAAGCGTATGAGGAAGTAGCAGTGCATTTTAGAGGAAGCTGTTTCGTGGTTGAGGCAGGTTCTGTAAACCAGTAAATAGGGTATTTAGTAATTGCGTATTTATGGCCATGTTTACAGCTCTCGTCTTTTTTACGCGTCTTTCACTGTTTCTGACTAACACATTTGGTCAGCTGATTTATTAGGCACGTAGCGTTGGAGTAAAAGTAGTCAAGAAATTATTTGTCTCCTTTAGGATCAGTGCTGTCTTCTAGCCTCACTACACTGGCTCACTTGTCTGGACTAGGTGTGTTAGATATGGATGAGATCATAACTGAAACTTAACCTCCCAGTTTGCTTTTTGCCATAATATTATTTAATGATTTAATATTCTTGGACACCTGTGATTTTTCAAGTTTTAATACTGGCAAAGAGCCATAACGTTAGGTTTGTACAATTGTCTTTTTGGATCCATTTGTTTCTTCTCTCCAAGCCCTGAAACTACACAAGTCATGAGTATTAATAAAGCAAAACAATGTATATACATTCAAAACATCTGGAATACTTGAGGTCATTTATTTAATGAGTAGCAGTAATAGATTGTATACACTGCTATTGTGCTGATCATACTCCACAATATCAGAAACAAGCCTTTTAGCTAAGGACCTTTAAAGAAAGCTCAGCTGGTTCTTTTATGGATCTATTTATTGACAAGAGTGTATTTCTGATGGAAATAATAAATTAATAAGTTTGTGCACTTGATCCTTGTTGGAACAGGAGTGTAGGCCAAATGCAGGCCTACTGGATTAGATTACATGCCTCCTCCATAGGATCTTGATGAACTTCTTAGGTTTCGACTTATCGGCCATGCTGTACATGGTAAGGCACTTAACACAATAGATAGAAATAACAGTGTCAGCCTCTGTGTCTGTAGTTTTTTTTTTTTTTTTTTTTAAATCATCTTTAAATCACGGACTTAAATGCAGACTGAGCAATCTGTAAACCCAGCATGTGATGAATCACACATAAAATAATTTATTCTTTGAGAAATAGACATATTTACATATTTAGACAATCGTTACTCAAAAGTATATTATTTGCACTTTTATAGACCTATGGGAGTTAGTCTTTTTTTGTTGTTGATAACTTTCTCTTGATTGGCCTATTTTATTTTGTCCTTATTTGCTGCCTGTGAGGCTAAGGAAACAATAGCAGTTTAACACTATACAGATTCATTATATGAGTAATAACTGCCATCTGTCTCTCTTAATTATGGTTCTGCTGCTCTATATTGTCAAAATGTCATTTTCAAAAGTCATCACAATTTTACTTGCAGCTGTGTGCCAAAGGAACCTTTTAAAATGATAAACAGAGCAATGATTTATAACAAGATAAGTATAAAACATTAGTCACCTGCTACATATAGTATATAGTATATATACACTAGATCCTACACTTGACAACTCTAGCTGAAACCAAACCTTCAGTGAACAGTGTTCTAGCTTGGCCACTAGGGGTCACTCAAAGGACATCTAAAGTCATTGACAGGCGCCATTGCGTTTACTCAACGTTTCCAACAGAAGTAGTGTCCCTGTGACACCATTTCACTGATCCTGTTAAGTACACGTGTACAGGAGATTGATGACTGAAACACACTTGACTTCTGAGTTTAGGAATTACATATTGCAGGGAAAGACCAGAATGTCAGCTGTCTTCAATATGACTAGGTCAGCTGGTGTCCAAAGTGCTCTAAGCAATGAAGCACTGTTTTTGATTCATATTGAATATAATTGTAGATAAATTAATGTAAACGTCAAAGATCCATTATGGCAATGGTGCTGCTTAAAACTCCCTGTCTGGTTGACTGACTACTGCTGTACGTATGTGTACTAATCATATTAAACTAGTAAAATGTCCCAATTGAAAGATCCCAGATTCTGAATATAAATACACCCCTTGGGCAGCACAGTGGTGCCATGTCACAGCCCCAGGGTCGATCCTGAGCTCAAGTTACTATCTGTGTGGGGTTTCACTATGTCCGCATGAGTTTCTTCTGGGTTCTCTGGTTTCCTCTATCCTCCCCAAAAACAAGCCTGTAGGTGGACTGGCTACACTAAATTGCTCCTGTGTGTAAATGAGTGTGTGCCTGTGTGTGAAAGAAGCTCTGTGATGACTATCGTGTATCATCTCATCAATGGTGTATTCCCGTGTTCACGCCCAGTGTTCACAGAATTGTGAATATATAATCTGGCAGGGAAAGGCCACAGCATAGCTGGTATCTCATGTTAATGGGTAGCAGTAGTTTAGTGAGTCATGGAATTGCCCATATCTTCTTGTATATAATATATATGGGTTTTCGCAGACAGTCCACTGATTAGGCAAACTGTACAATGTGACTCATACCTGTTATCATCAGGGCTGCTGTTTCACTTGTGTTCCAAGTGTTTATAATAATTAATACGTTTTAGTATATTTTCCCAAAATGACAACAGATTCAAGACGTGATTGAATATATCACAAATGTTTCTCTCTATGGTATAATGACTAGTAAGAGAAACTAAGTCATCAGATCAGTCTGGGACCATTTTGAATTATTGAGCAAGACCAAAACGTCAGATAAATAATTAACAAACTGGGTGTAACAAAGCTAGGTGTGATAGAGAGACGAGGGAGAAAGGGGAAACTACTAAGTGAAGCAACATTCATGAAGCAATACTTATAAGAATCCTTTTTTTTTTCCCTGTTTCTCATTTCTGCAAACTAGGTGTACTTACAATAATCTACTGTAAGTCAAGTAAATCCCTGATAGAATATCACTTATTATATTGTAATGTTTGTACCTTATATAAAACTTACTGAGGTGTGTGAAGAGTTCAAAAAAGTACAAAAAAGGCATATGAAGTTGGTGCATTGATAATGTGTCTATCTAGTAATGTGTAGGTTGGGATTTGATAAGAATAAGAGGCTTGTTTTATTATTGATTTCTGAAAAAGTCTAGCACAAACATATTAATTGTGAGAGGAGAGGAGAGCTAGTCACTCAGGCGATCTGTGGCTAACAGAACAGATGGAAGGCCACCCTACAAACTCCCACATGCACACACGCTGACTGCAGAGTTCAGGTAAATGTCACATGTAAATCATCACACTGGCCTGCTATGTCACACAGGCAATCAAGAACAAGGCATACTGTTTGTACGGCAGCTTCATCACATACAGTTTGTGTGTCTCGAGGAGAAACTTTTGGTCTTATTGTTAGTAATGGTTATTTGTTATGAGTGGTTGTTTAATTAGTGGTCAGTGAAGGTAACACTTCAGTTACCTTAGTAATCAGGATTGCGTGAAGGGACAAATCGCAGCATGCTCGGGTTATAAGGGTCAGTATCTTTCACTTTCTGGCTCTTGTAGATGTAATCAGTCTTTCCCCAGCCCTAGCGGGAGAGTAATGTGTTCCAGCCACAGAACTAGAAAGATCTGGCCATTCTACACATTGCAAGGCTAGAACAAAATGGCTGGCCATTAATTGTTGATGGTCACGTCTGTCTTCATTCTGTGGCTGACCTCATGGCACACCTGACCAGTTAAGTATATGAGACAGACCATGGCTGTAGTGTATTAAACCAAGTACGTGCTCTTGTGTTTTTTCTCTTTTCTCCACTTTCCTAATTAGTCTTAACAGGGGCTATCAGCTCAGTGTCAGGTTCTAGAGATAAAATTCTGCACGCAGTTTTCAGCAGGCAGAAAGCCAAAGGATCAGCTCAGGGGCCTCCACAGGGCCATTTGATCTCATACAGGCACATACACTCAATTTCAAGTCATTTATTTGTTATATGGAAACAATAATCATTTACACTCTCAATTCATTTGACATCATTTTCAAAAAGAAGTACATTGCAAAAATGTGGCTTTTGAACTGTTTTTTTTCCCCTAATGATCTGTAACAGACAATCATACAACCACCAAATATGTTGTTCTGCAGAAATAAGACTGCTCAGATGTCTGTCACTCAATCCTTACCAGTCATCTTACATAAATAGAATACTCCAACAGCATTCTCTTACATAACATATGCATACTATTAGGTTGCATTGCTGTCTCACTGCTCAATATTTTATTACCTGTGCTGCACTTTCACCTCCAGGTAACACATTCCTCATGACTAAATGTCTGACTCATGTTGCTTATAATGATCAATTCTAACTTAATGTAATGTAATGAAATGGTTCGTTTTCTTAGAACAAGGATGGCTGCCTTAATTCTGTGCTCAGGTTAAACCACAGTGGCAAATACTAATTATAGTATTTTTCTATTGTTTCAAAGTCACATGTGAAGGTCACTAGGGCTGTCATAAATGTAATGAAAAACTTGGATCAATGGTCTGACTCAGCATAGTCACTCAGTCTCAGTGACTGGAGCCTTTAGTATGGTAGAGGCAAACGCTGCACCCGAATTAAAACTGGGTTCAGGAAGGAAAAACTGCAGTGTCAGCTGCTGGCTAAGTTCGGATGTAGGTTTTCTTTTTCACTCTCTCTGTGATAATTTAAGCCAGTGAGAGAAGAGAGAATTTAGCT